TTTTTTTTTTTAATTTAAAAGTGCTCCCATGTAGGACCCTTGGCCGCTGCCCACATGCAGGACCTCTGGCGACCACTCCTGTGTGGACCCCCATTTACCAACGTGGGACCCCCTGGTCATCTCCATCTTGGGACTTTGCAACCACTGCCATATTCCCCTACGCATGGTAGCCTACACCTGGGGACACTGCAGATGGTCTGGAGACAGCTGCCAGCCACAACACTGCATGCCACAGAGCTGCATCTCTGAACACCTGGCCCAACCCAATGCAACACCCCATCTCTGAAAGCATCTGCCTCCATCTGGAGGCACCTTTATCACCATCTTTAGTTGAGACAACTCCCAGCTTGGAACACCAGCTGGGGCCTGTAAGCAATATTAAGGTACCTATAGTCCCCAATTCCCCCCTCACCCCAGTGGCTACTAACTTGACACAATGCTTGAGGCTAYGTGTCCAGTCCATAGCTCCCAAAGCCTGGTCCTGAACCGCCCAATACAAACAGCTCTCAGCGACAGACAGATGCACAACCCTTAGAGAGCAGCCCACAAGACCTCTGGAGAGAGGTTCCTAATTAGGAAGGTAGAAATGGAGGGGGTGAGTGAGATACAATTTAGAGACTACATTAGAGACCAGGAATTGTAAGGTTGATAGGCAATATAAGGAAATAAAACCAGGTRTCCAACATCACAGGAGCGGGGCCCCAAGAAATTAAAGGGATACCGACAGGAAAAGAACAATTCAAATTATTACTATTTACCGATGATACGATTCTATACATAGAAGACCTAAAAAATTCCACCAGAAAATTTCTAGAAAATAAATAAATTCAGCAAAATAGCAGGATATAAAATCAACACCCATAAATCAGACATTTCTGTATATCAGTGACAAATCCTCTGAAATAGAAACGAGGAATTTACAATAGCCTCAAAAAACATAAAATACTTCGGAATCAACTTAATGAAAGAGGTGAAAGACATCCACAACAAAAGCTACAGAATGCTACAGAAAGAAATTAAAGAAGACCTTAGAAGATGGAAAGATCTACCTYGTTCTCGGGCTGGCGTTGTGGCTCAGTGGTAGAGCACTCACCTAGTATGTGCGAGGTGCTGRGTTAGATCCTCAGTACCACATAAAAACAAATAAATAAAATAAAGGTATTGTGTCCAACTATAACTAAAAAAATATTTWAAAAAGAGAGATCTCCCTTGTTCTTGGATAGGCATAATTAATATTGTCAAAATGACCATACTACCAAAARCACTATAYAGATTTAATGAAATTTCAATGAAAATCCCAATAACATTCTTCACAGAAATARAAAAAGCATTCATGAAATTCATCTGGAAAAATAAGAGAGCCAGAATTGCCAAAGCATTCATTAGCAAGAAGATGAAGCAGGTGGCATCACTATACCAGATCTTAAACTATACTACACAGCAACAGTAACAAAAACAGCATGGAACTGGCACCAGAACAGACTTGTAGACCAATGGTACAGAATAGAGGACACAGAGAGGAACCCAAATAAATATAGCTATCTCATACTAGACAAAGGTGCCAAAAATATATATTGGAGAAAAGATAGCCTCTTTAAAAAATGGTCCTGGGAAAACTAGAAATCTATAAGTAGKAAAATAAAATTAAGCCCCTTCTCTCACCATGCATAAAACTCAACTCAAAATGGATCAAGGACTTAGGAATTAGACCAGAGACCCTGCGCCTAACAGAAGAAAAAGTAGGCCCAAATCTTCATCATGTTGGATTAGGCCCCAACTTTCTTAACAAGACTACTACTATAGTGCAAGAAATAAAATCAAGAATCAATGAATGAGATGGATTCAAACGGAAAAGCTTCTTCTCAATAAAAGAAACAATCAGTGAAGTGAACATACAGCCTATAGAATGGGAGTAAATTTTTACCACATGCACATCAGATAGAGCACTAAGAACCCAAAAAACTTAACACCAAAAAAAACAAATAACCCAAATCAATAAATGGGTTAAGGAACTAAATGACACTTCTCAGAAGAAGATATACAATCAATCAACAAATACATGAAAAAATGTTCAACATCTCTAGCAATTAGAGAAATGCAAATCAAAACTACTCTTAACTTTTCATCTCACATCAGAYAGAATGGCAGTTATTAAGAGTACATGCAACAGTAAGTGTAAGTGAGGATGTGGGGGAAAAGGTACATTCTTACATTGCTGGTGGGACTGCAAATTGATGCAACCAATCTGGAAAGCACTATGGAGATTCCTTAGAAAACTTAGAATGGAACCACCATTTGACCCAGCTATCCCACTCCTCAGTTTATATCCAAAGGACTTAAAAAACAGCATACTACAGTGACGCAGCCGCATCAATGTTTACAGCAGCACAATGCACAATAGCTAAACTGTGGACCCAACCTAGGTGCCCTTCAGCAGATGAATGGATAAAGAAACTATGGTATATATACACAATAGAATATTACTCAGCATTAGAAGAGAATAAAATCATGGTATCTGCAGGTAAACGGATGGAGCTGCAAAATACCATGCTAAGTAAAGTAAGCCAATCCCCMAAAAACCAAAGGCCGAATGTTCCCTCTGATATGTGGACACTGATCCATAATGGGGGTGGTGGTGGGGGAGAATGAGAGGAATGGAGGAACTCTGGATTGGGCAAAGGGGAGTAGGAAAGATGGTGGAATGAGATGGATATCATTACCCGAAGTGCATATATGAAGACATGAATGGTGTGACTCTACTTCGTGTACAACCAGAGAAATGAAAAATTGTGCTCTATATGTGTACTATGAATTGACATGCATTCTGCTGTCATGAATAACAAATTAGAATAAATAAATTTAAAAAAATTTAAAACTGATAAGTTATCCCTACATAATACAAATCACAGATTGAATTTTTTTGTACATAAACATAYAAATATTCTAATTCCAAAACTAGTGATACCACAGTTGTAATCAAGAGATTAGAGTATTTTGGAAGTTAAATGAATAGTCTCAAAAACAAAGGGTGTTCCAGGGTAGTAAATGATAAGGCTAAAAACACACTCCCCTAGCAATTAAAAAGTCAACTAGATCCTGGTCACATGTTCTCCATGCTCTTTCCCTCTCACTAAATTCCTTTTTCCCTCTGATGCTGGAACAATAACTGACCTATTCTTTGGGAACTGAGTAGTTACCAAATATGTAGTTCCTGTATTCTACCCAACATCTTGTACAAAGAGCCCAAATATACCACAGCAGCATTGAAACAGCATTTATACTAGAATTAGTCATGGCTGGAAAAAAAAGAATTAAAAAATATGTAAAGCACTTGCTCTGACAAAGTAATATCAAATGAAAAAGATGGAGCGGAAGAAACAGAAAGGTCTGTCAAAAGAATAATCTTAGTTTTTGTCCATTTGTATTTATAAAATTATATAAAATGCTACAGAATTACGACTTTTGTAATAAGGATTCAATATATAGATACTGTTCATCATCTAGAAATATTTAATTTATAAATATAAGAAAGTACAATATCTATAAAATGCTATCATGTTATTTGTTGGTTGAATTTACAGTTACTTACCTCTGCACTCTTCATAGCTTTGAGAATATTCCCCACTGTATCAGTAAAGGTGTTACCCAGTATTCTACCCAACTTCTTGTACAAGGAACCCAAACATACCACAGCAGCACTGAAACATTTAAATTGGAATTAGTTATGGCTGAAAAAAAGGAATAAAAATACAGAATATGTAAAGGCGACCATTAAAAAAACTTGCCCTTCTTTTGGTTGTGTTTTCAGTTTCTTGGGAGCATTTTGAAGCACAAATGTTTTCAATTACGATGAAGTATCATTTATCTGTATTTTCTTACATCCGTTGGACTTTCAATGTTATATCTAAAAAAACCACTGTCTCATTCAAGGAGACAAAGATTTAGTATTCTAAAATTTTACAGTTTTAGCTATTACATTTAGATTTAGRATCCACTGTGAGTCAATTTGTGTATATGGTGTGATGTGTCAGGGTCTAACTTCATTCTTCTGTATGTGGACATCCAGCTCTCCTAGCACCATTTGTTGATATAAACAACAATTTTACTGTGAAAGTATGAAATTTCCCAGAATCTACTTTGTTAAATCCTAACACATGACACTTGGATGAATATGAAATAATTATACCTTCAATAACAAGAATTTTAAATAGATGTATCTATGTTCAATTAATCCACATCTCAGTCAAAAGATTCTACCCTTTCAAATTTGTTATAAAATAAAATTCTRCAAAATATTTTAATAGAACTTCACATTAGATAATCAAAGATGGACTTAAATAAAAAARAAAAACAGATAATGTTCTCATTAAGTCTGAAACCTTGAAAGATCAATGATTTATATAGCATTATTATTGTGGAACCGGAAAAGGCTCACTACTGCCTCTATAACAATAGGTAATAAAATAAACCAAATTCTACAAAGAAAAAAACCAAATTGTTCTTAGAATCTTCTAAGAGTACTTTTAATTTACTATCAATTTTTACTACTAAGATGYCCAAACTAAAAGAACACCCAAATTGTGAATAATGTAAAATGTCTTCTTAATTACTTCTAAAATTTTAGGAATATGTTCTGAATCTTGAATCTCAATTTCAAATGAGTCTAAATTTTTAAGAGGATTTTCTCAGTCAACAGAAAAATGTTAGACTGCTTAAAACATTAAAAAAGGAGTGAAAATTTATAACTTAGTTTCAAAACAATTATGAAGTATGTTGGATACTTTATAAATATCACATAATAAAAAAGCAATATTTAGTTTTCTATTTAGTGTAAATGTTTAACTTACAGTTTGGTGGGAAGATAACTTGGAGAATCATCTTTGCTACGAATAAGATCATTACATTTATCRATTGTCTCATAAACAGAGAATGTGTCTCCAATACTATAAAGTATGGCCAKATTCTTGGCAAGGAGTTTTCGAGTAGGAGGCCCTGGAGAGCTATTCAGCAAAGATAGGAGTTGTTCAACAAGAGTCTTCTGTTTCTCCCTTACATCATTCTAGAAAGGTTAACAAAAAGAAAATTCAAAATCAACATAATTACATGGAGTCCTCTAATATAATTTTTAAAATATATTTAAGGAMTAACTGAAAGGCTCTAGAAAAACACAAAATTATTTTAAATAAAAATTATAAGTTGGGAACATTGCCACACCAACAATTGTTGCCTTGATATCTCCAAAAAATGAATTATGAACAGCACTACATTAGTCTCTATTATAAAAAAGACAAGGGTTCTATTTCTTTTAAATCTTTATATATTTGAAAAAGAGAGTAAACTGTATTTTTAACTATAGCTTTCAAGCCTACCTCCCCAATAAATATCCACATAAATAAAGCAGTAACTGGGGCTGGGGGTRTGGCTCAAGCGGTAGCGAGCTCGCCTGGCATGCGTGTGACCCGGGTTCGATCCTCAGCACCACATACCAACAAAGATGTTGTGTCCGCCGAGAACTAAAAAATAAAATATTAAAACTCACTCACTCTCTCTCTCTCTCTCTCTCTCTCTCTCTTTCTCCCTCTTTAAAAAAAATAAAATAAATATTAAAAATTCTCTCTCTCTCTCTCTCCTCTCTCACTAAAAAAATAAAAAATAAAGCAGTAACTTATAATCCATAACCAAAGCAAAATGTTAATGCCTGCTGAATGCAGGTGAAGAGTATAAGTACTGGGCGCTGGGGGGGCCTATTTTACGAGCTTTTAAGAGGGAATATGTTTATCCAAAGGCTTTTAATTCATATTCTCCTTACACTCTTGATGGTTTTTTTTTTCCCCTAGTACCAGGGACTGAACCCAGGTTTGCTTAACCACTGAGCCACATTCCCAGATTTTTTTTTTTTTAATTTTTAAATTTTGAGACTAGGTCTTGCTAAGTTGCTCAAAGCACTTAAAATCCTCCTGCCTCAGCCTCCCAAACCGTGGGGATTACAGGTTGTGCCCCACTGTGCCTGGCACTCTTCTTGTTTTTTAAGAGAAACTTACACTAGATTGTTTAGCACTATGCTGCATATATATATATATATATATATATATATATATATATTTATTATACACACACACAAACACACACACAATGCAGAAGATAATGAAAATGATGTAGGTGTACTTAACATTTCTAAAGTGTAATAGAAAAAATATTGGCTGATTTCTTTGTGCTTTTTGGAACAGATCAAACTTCTTATAACATTAAAAATGCCTACTGGGAAGGGGACAAAAATTTTTTACTGTATTTCATTATAAAATAGTCTTAACAAAGTCTAGCTTTTTAAAGCTAAGTTTAGGGTCATTTTGGACAGAACTAGAAAAGCAAACSAAAGAAGTAAACACTGACACTTAAATAACAACAAAAAAGTATCTTTTGTAATTTTACCCACCCTACTGGTTGCTAGTAAGAGTTTCTCCAAGTATCTCAACCACTCAAAAATAAACTCAGCYTTCTGAACTTCACTTAGTTGATTGCATGCTTCTTCATTCAGCAGTAAGCTATGAGCTAATTCCATTTCTTGCAGCAAATTTTAGCTGATCAAGATTCTTCTCATTAAACTTCAGTCAATATACCTAAGAACAAAAACCTGCAATAGAGAAAACAAWCATATTTTAAAAGTTAAAAGAAAGTTTAAGGAGTTCCCCAGTCCTTTTAAAGGAAATATTCCACAGAAAAGTAAAAGCATAATTAAATGCATCCATCTTTAATAACTGCACTAGGGTAAATATGGGAAAATCCCAACAATAAGTTCTAGTAACATCAACCAATTCATCTTTGTATTCAGTACTCT